GATTCTTACTGACCTAATGAATTTTCTAAAGGAACAACAAACGAAAGAATCTTAGAATACAACTATTTGAAAATAAACGATATTTGTTTTTAACGTTAAGAAAATCAGATTTTCATGAAGTCAAGCGGTAAAAGCGTTCGAAGTGTACAGGCATTAATTATTTGTAATGGAGAGCAGTTTAGTACTGTTCGAAACAAAGGAAGGATTCATTTCAATGAAATGAATGTTTATTTCTATTGCATACTTCTGTTTCATTTCAGTGCCACCAATACGTGCAAACTTAACTGATATCCAACCGAATGCAAAGTGGAAACAGAATGGCCTAACTGTGGCTGGAGGATGTGGACAAGCCAATAGAAGCAATCAACTCGCGGGTCCACATGGTTTATGCGTCGATGATAATCAAACAATTTATGTCGTTGATAACTATAATCACCGTATTATGGAATGGAAATGTTGTGGAACGAATGGAAAAGTAGTTGCTGGTGGAAATGGATATGGAAATGGAGCTCATCAGTTAAACGGTCCACAAGATGTAATTATCGACAAAGAGCAAGATAGCTTCATCATCACCGATACCGTAAATAGAAGAATAGTTCGATGGCCTCGTCGAAAAGGTACTCGTGGAGAAACTATCATTTCCAATGTCTCTTGCTGGGGTTTGACAATGGACGAGAATGGATTCCTCTATGTCGTTGACAATGGAAAAAATGAGGTGAGACGATATCAAATTGGAGATGTTAAAGGAACAGTGGTTGCAGGTAGCAATGGAAAAGGAAATCGTCTCGATCAACTCTCTGGTCCCTCCTACTTATTTGTTGATCGAGATCACTCAGTTTATGTGTCTGATTCTTCGAATCATCGTGTGATGAAATGGGAAGAAGGTACAAAAGAAGGCATCATTGTAGCCGGTGGTCAAGGAGAAGGAAATAGTCTTACACAATTATTATATCCTCAAGGAGTTGTTGTCGATCAACTGGACACTGTCTATGTGGCTGATTTTGGAAATCATCGAATAATGCGTTGGCCAAAAGGAGCTACACAGGGTACTGTCATTATTGGTGGAAACGATGAAGGAGCACAGTCGAATCAACTCGCTGGCCCCGTTGGTTTATCATTTGATCGACATGGCAATCTCTATGTCGTCGATAACAGAAATGATCGAGTACAAAAGTTTAATATCGAATAAACTCTATGCGAACATTAATTTAATTTCTTTTTTGTTCATTTCTCTCAGAAATAAACTGCCACTGAATAAGTAAAAAAACATATGTGTCATGGATACTATAACGATTCCTGCTCGAACTTTTAGAGACTACTCAGAATTCCTTCAGATAACAGGGATCTAATTGCAAAGGACATAGCTTACTCCCTGCCCAACATTCACTTGTCTGATCCTCATCCTAGTTTCATCTAAAAAAATTCATCATTTATTGATGTTAAATGATAACGCAATGCGATGATGTTGATGACTAAAAGGAAAAGAAGAAAAAACAAAATGATTACTACATGGTGACATTGGACAATAACACGAGTACAAACCAACATATGTTGGCTACAATTGAATACCCAACCAACAAGGCAACATACATATATTAAAATTTTATTTCATAAGAAAAAAATTCACGTAAGTCTGAAATATAAGTCTGATGTTATTCTTTAAACGGGTCATGATTTTTCCATACCTTATTGTCATAGATTGATATATGCGAGTAAAAGAAATATCTTTTAAAAATAATGTAGAACTAAATCGAACTAGTAAACAAGAAGAAAAATTCGTCACAAATATGCAATATTGATACATTCGTAATAACAATAAATGATTTGATATAAAACTTTTCTGAAACCTGTTTTTTTTTCTTGCCACATAATATTTATCTTTGTAGATACCACCTCTTAATTGAAAATGTGTTGTAAAAACAAACTCTTATATTCATAGTAACAGCACTTCTTTGAGCATGACCAACTGAACAATACATTGATATACATATTTATTAACATTGATTTAGTATCAGCGTACCCACCTAACACGGGGTGTGGGTGTGGGTGTGAGTGTGGATGTGGATGCGGGTGTATGTGTATGTGTGAGTCTTCCATCGTCTCTTCGGCCCACACCCACACCCACACCCATACCCGCACCCACACACCCACACTCCACACACACCCACACACTCACACCTACACCACCCACACCCAGACCCACACCCACACACCCACACCCACACACCCACACCCACACCAACCCACACACCCACAGCCACAGCCACACCCACACACTCACACCCACACCCGCACCCTTTTTTCAAATATATCTAAGGCTATTTTAGGGCACAGTTATTTATGGTTTTCACGACAATTTGATGGTATGGGTGTGTGGGTGATGGTGTAGGTGGGTATGGCGCTGTGGGTGTGGGTATGGGCGGGATTTCCAATGGGATCTACGTTGACACTCATTCTCACATCCACATCCACACACACACACCTATTTTAAGAATGATTGTAGTCTACTGGATGTGAATAATGAGATACCCTCATAGGTAATAACTAACGGTTATGCCTGCAGGTTGCAGTTCAGTAATGAACGATTCCAATTAACGGATATTGTAGGGAAGTAAATATAGGTATATATGCTGTTTTGTGAATTGAAATTCTTTATGTAAATACAGACTCTTTTCTGTTTTGCAATCAGTTGCCTTGTTTTGTTAAATTTGCAGTTTCTATTATTTCTTTGTGTACTCCTTCAAAAAAAGCGAATAGATTCAAAAATTAAAAAAAAACACTACGTGAAAAGAGATGGAGTTGTTGCCATGATGTTGAAATTCGAAAAAAATTATTTGAGAAACAACACGGCCATCTACCTTACACGAAACTCACGCAAGTCGGTATGACTGATTTTAATTGTTTTACTTCAATAAGCACCTAATTAGAAGAATTTCTAAGATTAAAGAGCCTATTTCGAACGCCATAAACAGAGCAGCATAGGACACTACAAGTAACCAGATTTCGAAGAAGAAACAAGAGACACAACTTGATTCAAGACTTAATTTCATCAGAATGTACGAATTCGTTCTTCTAGTTATTTCCAAAGAACTGCAGAAGTTAAAGTCACTAGTTTTTGTCTAGAAATAATTTATTAATTCCGCTTCGCAAAAACTCAACACCTGAAATTCATATGGATTATTGAGTTTCTCTTAGTAAAACCTCCTATTTTAAAGCATTCAAGGGAAAAATCCGGTAGTGTTGTTATCTTCAATTCCTGCTATTTTCAAGGTTTTTTAATATTCCTTAGAATTCATATAATTCCACAGGATTGCATTAAATAACTCTAGCTTCCCTAGAATTTATAATAAGTTCTTACGGCTTCTCAGGGTTCTACAGGATTCAATAGCGCTGCCTGTGACTATGCGGAATTCTCTTCGAAACGTGTTGGTGTGGATATGGCTTCTCTATCGTTCACACTCGCACCCATTCCGACACCCATATTCACGCCCGTGCTCTACGCTCATTAACACCGGCACTCATACCTAGTCATACGAATTTGATTGTGTGTGGATGTCGAAGTGCGTATGCGCGTGCATGTTTGTCTGTGTATCTTTTCTGCATACCCATCTGAAGCTTTGTGGAGTAAATTGTTGTTTGTAACACCGTATCTTACCAAACACCTTGAAATATGAATCAACAATGAACAAATTCAAACTCAAACCTGTAGTCAAATTTAGATTACAAATCTAAATCTGAACTCATATTGAATTCGAATCTAATTTCGAATCCAAAGTCGATAGTATCAAACTCAAAACGTTCAGTTTTATTGCATCCCTATTATTGCTTTGCAGATCTTTGATTGTTTCGATTTAGGAAAATTATTCTGATCTTTTAATAATACAAATTTCTAAGATTCGAGTTTCTCGTGAGATAATCGAATGAAACTGATAAGGACATGTGGCATTAAGTATACTTTCTTGTTCACAAAATATTTCGATATTTTGTGCTAAAATTAAGTCAACAGAGTCTCCTGATGACACTTTAAAAATTTATTTTGAGATATTTTTCGACCTGTGTCCGTCAACTCGCACAGGAATGAATAAGGCAGTGTTTTATCCAAAGAGGTGTCCGAAAGGGCAGCGCTCCATCGATAGTCGAGTTTGGCTCACGAAAATTGCGATCAGTACAAGATGAACTACGTAACTTGCTATCCGGAAAATTTTTTGACTCTTCTTCGAAATTTCAAATCACCTCTCCAGAGAAAAAACTTAGATAAAACACAGGTAAACTCGATTTCGACCATCTCCGCACGGGAATACTGATATAAGTCGACAAAACGATTGAGATATAAATGAAAATAAACTTTTGAAATACAATAAGCAGTCTCGGTTGACTTGATTTCAACACAACAAGTGAAATATCTTGCACTGCTATAATGAGTATAAACAAAAATATGCATTCAAATAATTGGTTGCACGCCGTTTTTGGACGTATTCAGTTGAGCAATGAATAAAATTAGAAAAGAAAAATTCGATTATGAAATGTCTATTTCTAAGTATCTGTATTTTTTCTGAGTTCTCTAGGAAGTTTCCTTTGAAGTTTTAAATCTTCGAAAGGCAAAATCATTAAAAAAAAGTCATATTGTCAACCTGGTTTGAATGATACGAGAAAAGACGATACATTTTAATATATTGTAAAACGAAAATACCGAATTTTTCAACTTACGTTACTAATATTTAATGCCATTTTTCTTTTCAGTTAGCAAAAAGTAACGAGTACGGGTTATAATCTTTCGTGATCGCTTCATAATGGAACCCACTGCTTCAAATTTTATAGCAATATCTTATGCTGTTCCATTTAGTGCTTTTTTTATTATATTTCTATTCATCACTATGATTAACAGACATAGTAATTGGTATATTCTTCATTCCATTTTGGGTATTGATTGGAAGAAAGACGATAAAGAGAAGGATGAAACAAGGTTAAAATCAGAGCATTCAGGTCATTGTGTTCATTGTGGAAAAAGTTTCACTGCTACTGTAAAAACTGAAGCAAATAAAACAAGCGAAGACTTGAACAACTTCAACGACGAGAATAAAGTTAGTGTATATCTCTACATTGATTTTGACGAAGGAGAGAAGAAAAATGATTTCTTATTACCATGTTATATACGTCTGTTCAGCGATCTGTTAGCATCAGCTATACTTGCCATTTTCGTGTCGATCATCTTTTCCAGTGTGATACTTGAAAATACTACATTAGATAAAGGTGATAAGTGTCCTGATTATAATGCTTCTTGTTTTGCTACAATTGGGACTACTCACTATGGTCCGTACAATTGCTCTAAAGATAATTACGCCAATTTTTCGATTGATGTTGATAGATTTTGGTGTGTAGGTTGGGTTTACAAAGATAAATCGGCTAAAGATGTACTTGACACACTTGGAACATGTGGTGGTCTACTTGCTATTGTAGCTTCCATTGTTCCTTTAACCTATTATCTTTCATACAATAGAAGGAAGTGGTGGAAGATAAGTTGTCTATGTATCATCCTCCCAATATTACCTATCGCTGCATTAGGTGTCGCATTATGGCTGGAATGGCCGCGTGGAATATCTCAACTTGCGAGTACCGTCTTTGGAGTCGCCATTCCAATGGTAGTTATAGGATGGTGTTGGGGATTGCATCGCTCATATAAGTCAAAAAGCGACCACTATTGTCGATGGCTTTCTTATTTACTTGACCCGAAATGTTGCTCAAAAGAAGACTATTATCAAAACAAGACTATTATCAAAACAAGACTATTATCAAAACAAGACTATTATCAAAACAAGACTATTATCAAAACAAGACTATTATCAAAACAACTGCTGTAGAAAATGTTGTAATTGTTGTAGATCTCTATGGTGCACCAATCATAAACACTATCCATGGTGCTGCTGCCCTTGTTGCAGTTGTTGCGATGAAAATATGGAAGAAAATAACCTCGATCGAAAATTTCCATCAAAGCAAGTACCAGTTCAAACAATTAATTGTATTCCACCTCAAAGGTTAGCGAAGCATCCTTCAAAGAATTGAATTCTGTATCAACAAACTCTGATAACCGTTTATTTTTCATATATTTTGACGCTTTAAAAGCGATGTATTACACAAACTCTACTCTTCGTTGGAACAAACAACGTTCTCTATGCATTCAGTGATCAACGG